CAGTTGAGTTCGTTACATTCAATTACATACAAATACCCTTAGGAAAGGGTTGAATCCATCTCTTCTCTTCCCAGTTATATGTGGCAAGAGAAGGACAACTCTGAATTCACAACCTGAGGAGGGTGCTTTGGCACACTCTCAGCCATGGAGTGCATTGATGGCACTGTTTAACTTTGTTTGGTTATCAACACACCCTATGACCAAAAGCACCCTCGTTGTCCTTTTTTTTACCAACACTTTGTATTTTTGTGTGTGCATATATATATATATATATATATATATATATATATATATATATATAAAAAATATAATAAAACGGCTTAAACACTAATATTCCATGGTCATAATTTATTCCATTGGAATCATAAATATGATCCAATTCATCAAACCTAAAAATTAAAAAAAATTAACCACTAATATATATATATATATATTCAGTTGTATGGACATGAGTTTGTGATTCTGGGTTTTTGCAATCATCAGACAAACTCTTGTTTGGTCTGTCTGGTTTCTCTTTGTCATTAGTTTGTCTGATGATTGCAAAAAGTATGAAACCCAGGATCACAAACTCATATACACACAACTGAATATGTTAGCTCTATCACTGATATTGAGTGCTTTCCACTAAGTATTGTCCATATAAATTGAAATAAATATATATATATATACGTCAATTTTTCAACTGCTATCAAAGATAAATTTTAATTTTCTAACAGTCTGTACACCAGGGTTGAATAAGACTAACATACTTTTTGTTGGCTGAAATAGATCTATACCCCACCCCATAGGAGATAATTTTGGATTTTGTTGTGTTTTATATATATATATATATATATGTGTGTGTGTGTGTGTGTGTGTGTGTGTGTGTGTGTGTGTATGTTCAAGCATGTCCTGTTGAAAACGACAAGTTATATTTTTAATATTTAAATATTTATTTTTTAAGTTATTTTTAATGTTTTTCTTTTTAGCATTTTAGTTTCAATATGTTTATCGATTTGTGTGTCTA